GGGGGTCTCATCCGAGGCTTTGCCTTGCTTCTTCACTGGAAGTGGTTTTTACGTGGCGGGTCCCAAGCCCAGCGCACAACCCATTGCTGGGACGGGGGTGGTTTCGCAACCAAATACACGTTTATATAGCGAGCCGCTTGCTCCAAGCAGACACCCGCTAGCAGTCACACCTACTGGTGAACAGGCGCTGCAGACTTCGGTGAGCCCCTAAACCGAATAAGTCGAAGGGGTCCCACCGAAGCTCCCTCTCTTTCTGCCGTGACCCAAGGCTCCACTCGGATTGGTTACCGCATCTCGCACATGGGTTGCTCACGTTGCCCAGAGTGCGCGAACGAGGACGCCAGAGTCGGGATTGAGTATAGCCATGCAACTGTAACTGCATACCCAGCGCAACGACTATACCCCATTGCACTAACTCAATACATACCCCAATAATATATCCCGATAATGTATTAGTTTACCTTAAGTCCTTAAAGCAGTCTTTTAGTTATGGTCCTGACCATACCCACTTGTTTTCTTATAAATTGTGCTGATTATCTCTATGAGCCGTTAACNCTCAATACATACCCCAATAATATATCCCGATAATGTATTAGTTTACCTTAAGTCCTTAAAGCAGTCTTTTAGTTATGGTCCTGACCATACCCACTTGTTTTCTTATAAATTGTGCTGATTATCTCTATGAGCCGTTAACAGTCTTATTTAATTTGTCGTGTGTTAAGAATCGTTCATAACCCCGCTACATAAAAGCGGTAGCAGGTCCTCGGTGGAGAACTTTCGGGGCATAGCTAAGCTCTCTGCAATTCGTAAATTATTTGAAGCAATTATTAGAAATCATGATTCAATTATAAAACAAAAAACAGTTTTCTCGCTACCTCTTGACAAAATCGGCTCCCTTAGCAAGGCACTGTGTGTGGGTTCGTGTGTGTGTGCAAATCTTTTGTAAGGGAGCTAAGGGAGTGTCAAAACTCGAATGTCACTAATGAGCAAACCTTTAATTCTTGAATCATGATTACAAATCAGGTGACGCATTTTATCTCATCTACCATTTCATACTGTCAACATGGGTTTTGCAAAGGCAAATCAACTTCATCAAATTTACTTGAATTAACATCCTATATCTCAAAAGCATTTAGTGAAAACAAAAATGTGGATGTTATATATACCGACTTCAGTAAAGCATTTGACAAAGTATGTCACTCGCTGCTCATCTATAAACTTGATCTTCTTGGTCTTCCACCTAATTTTCTACATTGGATCTCTTCATACCTCTGTGATAGATCACAAAGGGTTATGTTTAAAAATACTATTTCTGACGTCATTGATGTTACTTCAGGAGTCCCGCAAGGTAGCCACGATACCACGATAAACGATATATCTACAGACATAAAATTTTCAAAAATTTTAATGTACGCAGATGATGTGAAACTTTATAAATCGTAAGTATCAATCAAAGAAAAGCATTTGCTTTTTTGGTGCTATGTAAATCGTATCTGGTCAACTGAAAAGGCGTGTTACCCTAGTATGTATATAAGTAAATGGAGATATTTACAAATGTGTACTTATTTACTGACAAAGTTCAGAAACCTGTTTAGTTTTTAAATAAGTTAAGGATACTTACATAACATCATGTGTATAAGCCCTACACATTGCCTTTTTGCTAGCAATGGAATATGCGAGGAAAATGATTGGTATATTGTCTTTATCAATTAAAGTACAAAAGTTATTTCCTTGAAGGAGAAGGCTGTAATAAAAAGCTTTAATAAAATTTTTATATTCCTTTAATATAAATTTTACATACTTGCACAAATCATGTAAAATATTGTTTGCAGCAGTAAATATTTTATCATCAAGAACTCCTTTGTCACTTGTAACAAAAACGCCTTTGAAATATGAAAAAGAAGGAATAATAGGTCCGTTAGACAAGAGCAGCGATTTTTGCACAGCAAAATAATCAATAAACCGGTGAATGCTACCCAAAAGGTGTAACACTTCGCAGAGCCAAGAGAGCACTCACTGGTCCCAAAGTAAACTTTTTTGTAATAAAATAAACCTAAGTTATTACGATGTTGTAACTAAGGAATGTCAATAAAAAAGGTATACATATGTATGGATGTACAGATCGAGGGTGACAGGTAATAAGGTCAACGGAAATAAGGTCAATTCTNCATATGTATGGATGAACAGATCGAGGGTGACAGGTAATAAGGTCAACGGAAATAAGGTCAATTCTCCACCCTGGTTCGAAATAAAGTCAATTGACATTATTTCTCTTTCAAACATTCAATTTGCTTAACTTCGCGGCGGCCCCGTCAGCGCGCCACACCGCGCGAGCTGCGCTCGCGTACCCCGCGCGACCGGCGCGCACACTACGTACCGCTACGCCGCGGCCACCCCTTCCCCGTCTCCCGCCGTGCTATAACGCAGTTAGATTTAGTTTTTGTATACACTGAAATAAAATTTTTATATATTTTAAACATCGAGGGCTTATATTCAATAATACCCTCTATCTGCACACTTTTCACAAAGATGAGATTCTGATATAAAAATCCACCTAAGCTTTTGCTGTCATCGGTGATATTAATACCTTATATAACGACAGGTAATAAGTCCCAGATGGTTTCTAAAATCGCAAATTAGTTTTTGTGCAAATTGCAGATAGAGGGTATTAATGAATTCAAGCCCTCGATATTTCACTTTTTTATATTTGTAAGTTATTGGAAGCAGGGATGCCAACTTGGCTCAAACCGTGCCATTTGTCCCTATTTTACTTCAAATGGCACTTAATTTTTTAATTTGGCACAACGTGCCAAAATGGAACTTTTGTAAAAAAAATAACATTTCCATACATTGTTGTGAAATCCTTTCCGTGCACTTCTTTTTCTCAACTAAAACTTTATAATTTATAAAGGCTATTCAACTGGTTTAGCTTATTTTATCATTGCACTTTTGTTTTGGAAATGTGGCTTTATTTTATTGCTAAATGTGAATGATTAAAAGGAACGGCACCTTTTTTGGTACTTTTATTTTTCTATTTGGCACATTTTGGCACTTTTTTATCCTCAATATGGCACCTCATAACTAAGGATAGTTGGCAGCCCTGATTGGAAAATTTTTGCTGTGTTTTGGCAACACCTTACTTGTAGTAAAAAAGCATATAATTTGTGTTTCAAAGGTGTGAAAACCGATCAATTAACTTATATGATCTTGGTTCCGATATTAAATAATCAATAATTGTTTATACCCGCATTTTGGCACATTGGCTCGTTGAACGTGCCATCTAATAAATAGTGTCGTTCTCCTTAGCTGCTTTTATATGATGTCGTCACAAATTGCGTGTTCCTCCGGGGTTTTTGGACATGTACTGTTTCTTCAATTTAATAGTGTTCGCTTTATTTTTGTAGAAACGAAAAATGTTTTGCANTTCTACACTCTTTCTTCAAATATTTCTCGTATTCCAGCTGTGCGCAGGCGTTTAGTTTTTCGCATCGTGTTTTTACATATTCGTAATTTAAATTTTTTTAATAAAATCAATTGGTGGTAGTTCATGATTGTGTGTGGATTAATATCACCACACTGAGGATTTGGCAACAACCTTTGTCTTCTATTAAAAAACAACACTTACGGGGCAATGTTTATTGTAAGAGCAACCTTTGTTTTCTATGAATCGACATACTGTAAGCGTTGTTGACGCTATTTCCATTTGAATGAATGATTTCCAAATTTTTGTTGACTTTATTTCGCTTTTGAAAAGGTAATAATTTTTTTATTCACACCCATGATATAAATCTAATGTGCGTGATATTATGACCAGGGTTGCCACTGACGAAATGAAATACTTACCATCCACTTGAAAATAGTCTACCAAATCTGGAAAATATCTGCCAATAACTTTTTTAATTACCCATTTTAATAAAAACTATTACTAACTGTTCTATTTGTTTAGTTATTCCAATAAAAGTTAAATTTTTTTATTGAGGAACTTTTTAATTAACTAATGATATGGTAATTGAGATCATATTGGTATATTCTCGTATGTACTTATCGCAACCTAAATCAAAAACAGTCACAACTCAAAATTTTGCAAAATCGATTTTTTCTCATAAAAGAGTACACGGATTCTATATCTATCGTCCGTCAAAGTTTCTACTCATTATTATCTTCTTTAACTAGAAAAACACTACTAACGGGTCTATTTTGCACAGTACCAAAGATTTTATAACCGAAAAATTGTATTACCAAAAAATGTTACCAGCTCTTGTCATCGCGATTCTAGGTACGTTGGCAATGCAGTTAAAATATTTAGCTATGAAGATTTGTGAAAATTCTGGCATTGAATATTTCACGCAGCTATATTGTTACCAGCTTATGAGATGGTAACCAAATTTACTGGTTACAAGAATGCAGAGAATGCGAAAAGGGTTTAAAAATTGCCAGGAACTTTATTTACCGGTTACTACATTTTGGTTGCCGGCGCAGAATAGGCCCATCGACATTCAACTTTGGCGTTGCGTTGGTGTTGGCGTCGCTTTGACAGTATGTAGGTGGCCTTACGAATGTTTTTGTTTTGCTTGCTTCGCGTGCATCGATTACACAGTTGTTTGCGTTTCCTGAACATTTGAGGTTTGTTGAGTTGTGACTGTTTTTGATTTAGGGTGCGATATATAAAAATTGGCCATTAAAGCGTTCGAAAACTAATGCAATAAAGTATACTAATTAGACATTTTTAATATAAAGATAACTATGAAGAATAAAACGGGAGCTAAAATTGTATTTGTTTTTCGAAAAAATGCGTTAACAAAAATCTACCAAAATGAGAAAAAATTTAACTTTTTACTAACTCAAACTTTTTCTACCAATTTTGGTAATAATTGACCAAAGTGGCAACCCTGATTATGACCAGTTTTGACTATTTTTTTCTCGTAGACGAGGAGAATAGTTGTTCACATCATCTAATTAGTAATGAGAGTGGCTATTAACACTCATCTAAGATCTCATAAGTTCACACGACTGGAATATTCTCCCCAGTGTTTTTTGTAGCTAGATTTAGCTATTTTCGACGTTATGTTATAGAAATTTGCGTTTAGCTATTAGCAATAGAGTCCGACTGATTAATCGGCATCGGCATCAGCATCGGCTAGTACCGGCCAAAAGAATCGGCATCGGCATCGATTATTAGCCGATTCTTTTTACTTTTTACGCAATTTTAACAAATTTTCATCACAATTTGATAAACAGCTTCAGGTTTTTTTTAGAATTGTTTTAAGTAGGCAGTTTTTTAATTTTAGTATACTAAAGTGCAAGTTTGAAGTAGCTAAGTAGTGTAAGTAGTGTTGATTTTTTACAATTTTTTCTTCGCGCATTTTCTTCCAAACAAAATATGTTTAAAAATTTTTTGTATGGAGCAAATTCCCAACACCCTCCACAAAAAAATTCAAAAAATCAATAGTAAGTCCTAGTTACTTAGAATTTGCACTTCATTAAAATAAAATTAAAAGGGCTACAAAACTGCATACCAAGAATGTTTAAAGAAAAAGATTGAAATTTTTACTAACATGGTTTTCGTTAGATAACGACATACACTTTCATAAAAAATAAGCATTATATAAACGAAAGGGATATAGCGACAGAATGCTGAAATATTGTTACTGTAAGTATTTCATTTCAATTATTTCGTTAAATATATTAGCGCATTAATATTTAATCTTTTATTGCGCAATACAAAGAACAGATAAATACATGTTAATATGAGAATAAAAGTATATAGTGTAGTGTTCTTTAAGTTTATATTTCACACTGTAAACGGGGACTAATATGTAAGCTTATCTATTGTGAACATATACATATACTATGGTGACCGACTAATGTCACGCTTGCGTATACATAAAAAAATAAAGAGGCAATTGGTATCGAAACGCAAACGCAGAAGGTTAGCTTACTACAGCACCAGGTGTGGTACCGAGCCATATACAAGTTACATTAAATTCTTCCGGTGAATTCCTTCCGTTTAAAGTAAAATACTTCAGATAAGAAGAAGAAAAACATTTAAACTGTCGCGAAATGGAAAGCAGCACAAAAAATATAACTTCATCGGTTCTTACGGAAACGGGAATTCTGGTCCGCAAATCAGCTACTGAGGACGAAGTTGTGTCTTTGCTACAAGACATAGTGGGAGCTCCACCACGGAGTACAGCAGTTCCAGGTGCACGGCAAGCAGAGGTGGGAGCTCCACCACGGAAACAACAGACCGAGAATATTGCAGTGGGAAAGCAGCAGGCATTGCAAAGCGCCAATAACGGGGATAATCAGTGCGAAAATAGCGGTAGTCAACCATTTAACGATGAAGCCGAAAATATTTTGCAAAGCAAAGCTAACGGCTGCGAAAATACCGTACGTAAAGGTGCAACGGATGACCCAAAGCTAACCGCAAATGAGCAAAGCGAATGCGAGGGTGGTACAGCAAAGTGTAGTACGTTGGAGAAGCGTTTGCAAATTTTGAGCCTGAAAAACGACCTCAATGAGTCGACTACTGAGCGTGCTCAGGTAAGCACATATACATACTCACTCAGGGACATCGAAGTGCTGGTGCCGAAATTTAGCGGCGATGACGACTGTCACGTGCGCAAATGGATCGACAACTTCGAATATGCAGCCGACACGTATGGTTGCAACGACGGACGAAAGCCTCTCTTGGCGCGACAATTGCTAACTGGAAGTGCAAAAATGTTAGCAGAAATTGCAGTAGCGCACACCTGGGTTGAACTAAAAGCGCACTTAAAAGCAGAGTTCTTCAAGGTCCCCAGCTATAGAGACAGTTGACAGTCGAAGAGTGCGGACGTGTTTTTAAGTTCGCTCCGTAGTCATTAAATATTGTGCTAATTTA